TATGACGGTTTGTTAAGCTATTGCCATAGCTCTCAAGATCTCCCTCAATCTGGCTGTGCCCCAGGGGCAAAACCTCTTGGCAGTTCAAACTGATATGCAGAAACAAAAACTTGTAAATATATGCTAAAAGTGAGCACAGACCAAAAAGGATGACTCATATTAAATACAAGGCCAACAAAACCTTAAATGAGAATAGCTGTACAATTTAAGAAGTCCTGATTTTCCTAAGTGAGAAACCTGTCTCTCCTGGCTCTCATGGATATAGGAGAAGATGAAATAGCACACCATATTATGGGTTATTTAAAAATGCTCTAGTATAACTTTCTGATATGACCTTAAAGCTGTGATGCCCACTTGGCCTTCAACAGAGCCCTGTCTCACTTATTGTGAAGGGTACCCCACTAGGCTGAAGATAGGCAAAGAAAAATACTGAATAGCGTTTCACACCCATGTCTTGATGTTCAAAGAATATTAAAGGACTGAGCACTACATGCACATGAACAGAAACAGCCATGGAAATAGGAGAAACCTAGAGACTGTTTCTTACATAATGAGCTGAAAAGTAGAACTTGATTTTATTTGCAACAATCAAACTGAAACATTCTGGGCTCAGTCTGCACAAGCTATCAGAAATGTTTCTGAGTAACTGAAAGGAGGGTCATGTGCCCACTGGTGCAGTCAGAACTCCAATCAGGTTTGCTGAGCTTAAGGTTTCAGAAAGCAAAATCCTTCCACCCATAAAGCTGATAACCCAAGGATGCAGTCAATCCTAAACTGTGCTACACTTTTTCCAGAACATTTTAGTACTCTTTGACAGAAAAGGAAAAGTTAGCAGTCCTATCAAAGTTTAATACAGACTTTTACATGGAAAACATTAACAATGTTATGTATATATATGCAATCTACATAAAAGCAGCATATAACTTTACAAACATGCTTTGGGAGAAAAATGTATTCCTTTCAATTGTTTTCCAAAATAAATTAAAAAGTAAGTTTTTTGAGGCAAAGATCTCATCTCCCCTTAAATTAAATCCTAGGAAGCAGCACCCATGGTAGGTACTTAATGTTCCTAGGACTGCCAAATACATAATAACTCGGAAACAAGGACCTGACTGATAGGTTAACTATAACTGTTCTCATGTCTAAATATCAGTGTGCACAGACCTCACAGCTTGAACTGCAGGACTTTGCCACAGATGGACCACATCCTAACACAAACAGGTATACAACATAAATACAAAACTGGACATGTATACACATACACACACACAGATATAAAACCATGTAATAACACAGTCACAAAAACAAAACAAAATAGACAATTCAAAATATGAAGTAGAAAAATATCTAGTAAAGTAGATCTTTCCAGTATGCTGCTAGACAAACAAGTTACCAAAAAAGCATGCAGGGAGAGAATCAAGATGGTGGCATGAATAGAGCAGCGGAAACCTCCTCACAAAACCATATATATGTTCTTGAAAATACAACAAATACAACGATTCCTAAAAGAGAGACCAGAAGACACAGGACAACAGCCAGACTACATCTACACCTGCGAGAACCCAGCGGATTGCGAAGGGGGTAAGATACAAGTTGTGGCCCAGCGGGACTCGAGCACCCCTCAACCCAGCTCCCGGCAGGAGGAGAGGAGTTAAAGCGGGGAGGGAGAGGGAACCCACGACTGCCAAAAACCCAGCCCTAGCCATCCGCACCGAAGCACAGACACACAGTGCATGCGTGGGGTGCTGGAAACTAGGGAAACAGGACAGTAAGACCTGTGAGTGGGTCCCCGCAGCCTGCGCACCCAGGACAAAGAAGAGCGATTGCATTTTGAAAGTCTTAAAGGTACAGTGACCGCACAGCTGGACGGAAGCGTCCTGGGACACTTAGCCCAGGAGCTGGGAATCCCAGGAAACTCCGGGCGCCCTAACCCACTGGGTGGCAGCGCAGCTTGGAGACCCCTCATGGCGATAAACAGCCTCCTGCCCATTCCACCTCCGACGTGGCTCTGCCATATTGGAGAAGCAGCCTGAGGCTGGCCACGCCCACAGCAACCGAGGAGCTCCACAGCGGCCTGGCAAGAATTAGAAATCCCGCCTGCATGCAGCTACCCAGCACAAGCCGCTAGGGGTCGCTATTCTCCCAGGAGAAGAAGGCCACAAACCAGAAGAAGGGACTTTCTCTTAGACAACACATGTGCCACCTCCCCACAAATACCTCTATCACCATGAAAAGGCAGAAGAATTTGATACAGACCAAGATTACAGAGGTAAACCCTGAGAAGGAGATAGACCTAACCAATCTCCCTGAAAAAGAATTAAAAATAAAGCTCATAACCATGCTGATGGAGCTCCAGAGAAATATGCAAGAGCTAAGGGATGATGTCTGGAAGGAGATTACAGAAATGAAACTATCTCTGGAAGGATTCATAAGCAGAATGGATAAGATGCAAGAGGCCACTGATGGAACAGAAACCAGAGAATAGGAACGCATAGAAGCTGATGCAGAGAGAGATAAAAGGATCTCCAGGAATGAAACAATATTAAGAGAACTGTGTGACCAATCCAAAAGGAACAATATCTGCATTATAGGGGTACCAGAAGAGAGAGAAAAAGGGATAGAAAGTGTATTTGAATAAATAATAGCTGAAAACTTCCCCAAACTGGGGAAGTAAATAATCGATCAGACCACAGAAGTGCACAGAACCCCCCAATAGAAGGGATCCAAGGAGGACAACACCAAGACATAATAATTAAAATGACAAAGGTCAAGGACAAGGACAGAGTTTTAAAGGCAGCTAGAGAGAGGAAAAAGGTCACCTACAAAGGAAAACCCTACAAAGGAAAACCCATCAGGCTATCATCAGACTTCTCAACAGAAACCTTACAGGCCAGAAGAGAATGGCATAATACATTTAATGCAATGAAACAGAGGGCCTTCAACCAAGGATACTGTATCCAGCACGATTATCATTTAAATATGAAGGAGGGATTAAACAATTCCCAGACAAGCAAAAGTTGAGGGAATTTGTCTCCCATAAACCACCTCTACAGGGTATTTTAGAGGGACTGCTTGCTCTAGATGGGAGCACTCCTAAGGCTAAACAGACATCACCAGAGAAAATAAAATCACAGCAAAGAAAGCAGACCGACCAAATACTAACAAAATGCAAAAAATAAAATCAACTACCAACAAAAGCAGTTAAAGGAAACACAAAAGAGCACAGAATAAAACAACCAACATATAAAGAACAGAGGAGGAGGAATAAGAAGGGGGAAAAATAAAGAATCACCAGTGTCTATAATAGCTCAATAAGCGAGTTAGATTAGACAGTAAGATACTACAGAAGATAACCTTGAACCTTTGGTAATGACGAATATAAAGCCTGCAATGGCAATAAGTACATATCTTTCAATAATCACCCTAAATGTAAATGGACTGAATGCACCAATCAAAAGACACAGAGTAACAGAATGGATAAAAAAGCAAGACCCATCTCTATGCTGCTTACAAGAGACTCAACTCAAACCCAAACACATGCACAGACTAAAAGCCAAGGGATGGAAAAAGATATTTCATGCAAACAACAGGGAGAAAAAAGCAGATGTTGCAGTAGTATCAGACAAAATAGACCTCAAAACAAAGTAACAAAAGATAAAGAAGGACATTACATAATGATAAAGGGCTCAGTCCAACAAGAGGATATAACCATTATAAACACATATGCACCCAATTCAGGAGCACCAATATATGTGAAACAAATACTAACAGAATTAAGGGAGGAAATAGAATGCAATGCATTCATTGTAGGAGACTTCAACACACCACTCACTCCAAAGAACAGATCCACCAGACAGAAAATAAGTAAGGACACAGAGGCACTGAACAACACACCAGAACAGATGGACATAATAGACATCTATAGAACTCTACATCCAAATGCCACTATTTACAATAGCCAAGAAATGGAAGCAACCTAAGTGTCCATCAGTAGATGAATGGATAAAGAAGATGTGGTACATATACACAATGGAATATTATTCAGCCATAAGACGAAAACAAATCCTACCATTTGCAACAACATGGATGGAGCTAGAGGGTATAAATAAGCCAGGCGGAGAAAGACAGACACCAAATGATTTCACTGATATGTGGAGTATAGGAACAAAGAAAGACTGAAGGAACAAAACAGCAGAAGAACCAGAGAACCTAAGAATGGACTAACAGTTACCAAAGGGAAAGGGACTGGGGAGAACGAGAGGGAAGGGAGGGACAAGGGTGGGGAAAAACAAAGGGGGTATTATGATTAGCATGTATAATGTGGTGGGGGGCATGGGGAGGGCTGTGCAACACAGAGAAGACAAGTAGTTATTCTACAGCATCTTACTACGCTGATGGACAGTACTGTAATGGGGTTTGTGTGGGGGACTTGGTGAAGGGGGGACCCTAGTAAACATAATGTTCTTTATGTAATTGTAGGTTAATGACAACAAAATAAAATAAATAATAAAGAAACAAAGAAACAAAAGCATGCATAGGTTAATTTTCTGTAAAAATTTGTGTGTGTCTGGACATATCTATGAGTACATAATCATTTTGAAAAAAAAAACATAAAGCATGACTAGAAGGCTATAACAAAATCTCGACAAAACAAAGCTCTAATAGGTAAGACTACAAGTGATTTTTATTTCTTCTGCTTATCTGTAATTTGGAAATTTTCTAGAATTAATTTGTTGCTTAGATGTGAGAAAAGCCAATTTTACATTTTACAAACAATTTAAAGAAACATACATTTCAGAACACTGAAGCAGCCTGGGTATGGCCTGTTTCTCCTTTCTCACCCTAACTAGACACTTTCTCTAGAATGCCACATAAATCTGCTAACACCAAAGATATGATTAAACACTTGCTTCTATTGTACAATGAAGGTCTAATAACTGTGAGTGAGTGATAAATTCAAAGGTAAGAAAAGCCATCTGTTAGAACACTTTTCTCTCTACCTGGGCATAGTGTAAGAGCTTCTCAGTGGCCTCAGGGTCTTTATTCCAGATGAGATCTTCACAGAGCTGGAGAAGTTCCTTATGGATGTCATCATATACAGGGAGGTTACCAGCATTCACTATCCCCATGTCCATACCAAACTAAGGGCAATACAAATAACAATGAGTATTCCAGTGATAGTATAAATCAGGGGTCAGCCAACTTTTTCTGTAAAGGGCCTTTCTTTATTTTCTGTCAGAGGCCATACACAGTCTCTGTTGCAACTACTCAACTCGGCTACTGTATATCAGAAAAAAGCAGCCACACGCTATATACGTGAGTATGTATGGCTTTTTTCCCATAAAACTTTATTCATAGAAACTGGTAGCAGGCCAAAGTTAGTCTGTGGGTAAAGTTTTCAATCCCCTGTCTAAATAAAAGCTGGTCTCAAAAGGTTAATAGATATCCTACTATACCTTGATGGCATGGTAAAGGAAAACCCCATGCATGGCTTCTCGAATGGCATCCATTCCTCGGAAAGAGAAGGACAAGTTGGAAAGACCTCCACTTACTTTGGCTCCAGGTAACGTTTCCTGACAAAGATTTAAAAATGTGAAGATTCCACTATTTTGCCAAAAGCAGCAATCACATCTCTTAAGCTTTATATATAAGAGCGGAAAATAGCAAACATATAAAGTTCAAAGTAATTCAAAGCTTCTTATACCTAGACATAAACCAAAACTTCCCATATTACAGTGTCACAAAGGCACTGCTTCATAAACAGTTCTTACTTGACTTTAATCTCTCTAAGGGAAAGTAAATCTCTGCAGAACTCTACAGTGACCACAATACGACCATGATACATAGTGAGTGTGACACAAAATATTGCTGGATATTTTTTAGTAGTTAAGTTTTCGGAGAGTCAAAAGTTATACACAGGTTTTCAACTGCACAGGGGATGGACAGCCCTAACCTCGGTGTTGTTCAAGGGTCAAGTGTATGTAAAAAAAAAAAATGAATGAAGTATAGCTCAACAACACAGACGCATCTTTAAAATGGGGTAAGGAAAAAAGGCATCAGATTCTTAAGATTCTATTTTATACTAAGCTCAAAACAGGTAAACTATACTGTTAATACAGTCAATTCCCATTATTTGTGGTAGTTACGTTCTACAAAGTCACCTTGAACACTAAATCAGGGAATACTGAAAACCACTGCTTCTAAGGGAAATATAGACTTAGATACCTGTGAACCTCTAGTCACACAACTTTCATCAACAGATAAATACAACCTTGTTTTATATGTGTTTCTGCTCAAAGATATCTTGTTTAATATGCTGTTCATTCAGTAACATTGAGCTAACAGCCCATAGTACTACAACTCACACCTGCACAGAGCTCACCTAACACAAGTATCTTCTCCATAAGGCATATTACAGTCTTCTTGCACGTAGGAACATAGCACTTTAAAATGAGGCTGGGGCACCATTAATCACAGAGTTCAATCACCAACGAAAAGCTCAAAAATGTGAAAAACCTGGCACTAAATGGATCATGACAAGGACACTTGTTTATAGAATGAGAGCAGAAACAAGAAGTCCTGGTCTACTTTATCTGGAAGCACATGGGTTGGACCACTCAGATTTTATACCACTCTGCACGTGGGTATGTCTGGGAATGACTGCCAAAGTACAAGGTGTATTAATTTGGGGCCACAAATAAATTTTAGCAAGTAGGTGAATTCACAAATACAAAATCCACAGAAAATTTAGATAGACTGTATGTAAGTCGTAAAATTACAAAGAAAAGCAACAAAGTAGTAGCAAAAAAATTCAGAAAGAAGTGACTTCATAAAACTCAGCATGAGGGTGTAATCAGAAAGGGAGAGAACTGGGGGCACTAGCAATGTTCTAATTTAGGACTTAAGTTAAAACTACGATATGCTTCATAACTGTTAATTACATGGTGTATTTTTTATATATTCACCAAGTGTGTGTTATACTTCACAGTTTAAAATAACACATAAAAGAAAACTATGAAGGTCCCTGAATTTCAGAAAACCAATTTACTATCTAAGAAGAAAAATGTCAACATTACAAGCCAATAGATATGTTTGTTAGTTTAAACTGTTTGGTGGGGCCCTGAGATGAATTTGAACAATGTCTTGGGTGGAAGAGAGAAAAAACCTACACTTACTTTAATGATTTTTGTTGCATGGATAAAATTAACAGCATATAAGTTGTGCTCCTCCATCCCAGTACCAATGGTGAGGATATTAGGGTCAAAGATGATATCATTTTGGTTAAAGCCCAGTTTTTTCACAAGTAGGTGGTAGGCCCGAAAGCACACTCTGATTTTGTCGTCTGTTTCTGTCGCCTGAGGAAAGAAGCAAAAGATATCATTTGAAATAGAAAAATGAGCTATTATCTATAAAAACAGAAATACACTTCACTTGTTGAAAGTGTTTAAGCATCAATGCTCAGATTTAATAGACATCCAAATGCCAAGCAACCTCTAAACATCTGTCAAACTGTCTCAGAGCAGGGATTTAAAGTCCCTTTGTGTCTCCATTAGCACAACAGCTACACTACCTTTGTAAAAATCAGATCTGACACACACACATATTTGGTATATTAATAAACAGACTTCTAAAAAAAACATAAAAGTGACAAAAATTTAAACACTACCAATGAACAAACTAAAAATAAGTAAGTGTCGAGGAGCCAAGATGGCAGCATGAGTAGTTCAGCGGAGATCTCCTCCCAAGAACATACATATTTTTGAAAATACAACAAATACAACTATTCCTAAAAGAGACACCAGTAGATACAGTACAACAGTCAGGCTACACCTACATCTGCGAGAACTCAGCATCACATGAAGGGGGTAAGATATAAGCTGCGGCCCAGCAGGACCCGAATGCGGGAAGAAAGGAGTCGGAGTGGGGAGGGAGTGAAAGCCCAGGACTGCTAAACAACCAGCTCTAGAAATCCACACCAGAAGCACAGACACATGGTACACGGGGTGCTGGATATTAGAGAAACGGAAAAGAAAAACGTGCAAGCAGGTCCCCGTAACCAGAACCCCTGAGACAAAAGAAAAGTGAGGGCTTTTTTGCAAGTCTTAAAGGGACAGGGACCTCACAGCTAGATGAAGTTGTCCTGACACACGCACCCCAGCACCTGGGAATGCAGGGAACTCTAGATGACCTAACTCCCTGGGCAGCAGCGCAGCTCTGAAGCCCTTCATGGTGATAAGAAGCCTGCCAGTCATTCCCCCAACCAGCGCGGACCCTGACACACTGGCCCAGTAGTGGGAGAACGACAAAGCAGGCCAGAGGAGGGGTGCCAGAGGGGCCCGGGAGTGGCTTGTGCAAGCCAGTGGTGGCAGCGGCTGAGCGGCCCACATGAGCCCACAGCAGCAGCACCTGAACAGACCGCACAAGCCCGCGGCAGCAGCACCGTTGGGGACTGGGAACAGCCCACACAAGCCAGTGGTAGTGACGACTGAGCAGCCCGGGAGCAGCCCGCGCATGCTGGTGGATGCAGTGCCGGATGTGCCTGGGAGAGGCACACGCAAAAGCCCAGGGCAGCACCAGAGGGAACCGGAAGCAGCCTGTGGGAGCCAGTGGGGGTGGCAGAGGAGCAGACCACAAGCAGCTGTGCCCCCAGCAGCCGCTCAGCCCGGCACACAAACACCCGGGCCAAACTCAAGGGCCACTGTTGGCACACAGCTGCCCACAGGGGCACCACTTTCACGGGACAGCACACCCAGCGTGCCTGCCTCTCCCCGCAGGGCTCTGTGCTACTCTGACAGAGACCCCACCCACAGCAGCTAAGGCAATTAACCCGGAAGCTGCTCCAGGAGTGCGGGTAACTGACACAAGCAGCGGAGAAGGGCAAGGCAACCATTAAGCAAGAAAGGACTATGTTCCCCATATGCTACCAGCCTACAGCTACCTCTATCACAATGAAAAGGCAGAAGATTAAGTCCAGGCCAAAATAGTCTAGACAAGCCCTGAGAGAGGACCAGGGGAGATAGACCTAACCAATCTCCCCGAAAAAGAACTCAAAATAAAGCTCATAACCATGTTGATGGATCTTCAGAGACATATGCAAGTGCTAAGGGATGGAGTCCGGAGGGAGATTACAGAAATGAAATAATCTCTAGAAGGATTTAAGAGCAGACTGAATCAGGTGCAAGAGGCCATTAATGAAATACAAATCAGAGAACAGGTACACAGAGAAGCTGATGCAGAGAGATAAAAGGATCACCAGGAAAGAAAGAATACTGAGAACTGTGTGACCAATTCAAACGGAACAATATTAGCATTATACGGTCACCAAAAGAAGAAGACAAAGAGAAAAAGGGGTAGAAAGTGTCTTTGAAGAAATAATTGCCACACAGGAGGCAAGATGGCGGCGTGAGTAGAGCAGTGGAAATCTCCGCCCAAAACCATATATTTCTGAAAATTCAACAAATACAACTATCCCTAAAAGAGAGACCACAAGATATAAGACAACAGCCAGACTACATCTACACCTGCAAGAACCCAGCACCTCGTGAAGGGGGTAAGACACAAGCCACAGCCCAGCGGGACCAGAGTGCCCCTCACCCCAGCTTCCGGCAGGAGGAGAGGAGTCAGAGCAGGGAGGGAGAGGGAGTCCAGGACTGCTAAACATCCAGCCCTAGACATTCACAATGGAGCGCAGACACACAGTGAGTGGGGTGGTGGGTACTAGGGAAACAGGACAGTAAAACCTGCAAGTGGGTGCCTGCAGCCAGCACCCCTGGGACAAAGAAAAGCAAGTGCTTTTTGAAAGACTTAAAGGGACAGGGACCCCACCGTGGGATGGAAACGTCCGGGGACACTTAGCCCAGCAGCCGGGAATCCCGGGGAACTCCAGGCGCCCTAACACCCTGGGGTGGGAGCGCAGCTTGGAGGTCCCTCACAGAGATAAACAGCCTCCCACCCGTTTCCCCTTCGACGCCGCTCTGCCATAGAGGAGCAGAAGCCTGAGGCAGCAGGGCAGAACTTCTTTCACAGTGGCGGGGCAAGAATCAGACACACCATCTGCAAGCAGCTGCCCAGCACAAGCCACAAGGGGTCGCAGGTCTCCCAGAAGAGAAAGGCCACAAACCAGCAAGAAGGGATGTTCTCCCAGCCAACACACAAACCAGCTTACTGCAACTACCTCTATCGCCATGAAAAGGCAGAAGAATTTAATACACACCAGACTAACCCAGACATCCTCCCCTGAGAAGGAATCTGGGGAGATAGACCTAACGAATCTCTCTGAAAAAGAATTAAAAATAAAGCTCATAACCATGCTGATGGAGCTGCACAGAAATATGCAAGAGCTAAGGGATGACGTCCGGAGGGAGATTACAGAAGTCTGGAGGGAGATTACAGATATGAAACAATCTCTGGTAGGATTTATAAACAGAATGGATAAGATGCAAGAGGCCATTGATGGAATAAAACCAGAGAACAGGAATGCATAGAAGCTGATGCAGAGAGATAAAAGGATCTCCAGGAATGAAACAATATTAAGAGAACTGTGTGACCAATCCAAAAGGAATAATATCCGCATTATATGGGTACGAGAAGAAGAGAGAGAAAAAGGAATAGAAAGAGTATTTGAAGAAATAATTGCTGAAAACTTCCCCAAACTGGGGAAGGAAATAATTGATCAGACCATGGAAGTGTACAGAACTCCCAACAGAAAGGACCCAAGGAGGACAACACCAAGACACATAATAATTAAAATGACAAAGGTCAAGGACAAGGACAGAGTTTTAAAGGCAGCTAGAGAGAGAAAAAAGGTACATACAAAGGAAACCCCATTGGGCTATCATCAGACTTCTCAACAAAAACCTTACAGGCCAGAAGAGAATGGCATGATATATTTAATGCAATGAAAGAGAAAGGCCTTGAACCAAGGATACTGTATCCAGCACGATTATCATTTAAATATGAAGGAGGGATTAAACAATTCCCAGAAAAGCAAAAGATGAGGGAATTTGCCTCCCATAAACCACCTCTACAGGGTATTTTAGAGGGACTGCTTGCTCTAGATGGGAGCACTCCTAAGGCTAAACAGACGTCACCAGAGAAAATAAAATCACATCAAAGAAAGCAGACCAACCAAATACTAACAAAATGCAAAAAATAAAATCAACTACCCACAAAAGCAGTTAAAGGAAACACAAAAGAGCACAGAATAAAACAACCAACATATAAAGCAAAGAGGAGGAGGAATAAGAAGGGGGAAAAATAAAGAATCACCAGACAGTGTCTATAATAGCTCAATAAGCGAGTTAAGTTAGACAGAAAGATACTAAAGAAGATTACCTTGAACCTTTGGTAACCACAAATCTAAAGCCTACAATGGCAAAAAGTACATATCTTTCAATAATCACCCTAAATGTAAATGGACTGAATGCACCAATCAAAAGACACAGGGTAATAGAATGGATAAAAAGCAAGACCCATCCATATGCTGCTTACAAGAGACTCAACTCAAAACCAAACACATGCACAGACTAAAAGTCAAGGGGTGGAAAAAGATATTCCATGCAAACAACAGGGAGAAAAAAGCAGGTGCTGCAGTACTAGTATCAGACAAAATAGACTTCAAAACAAAAAAAGTAACAAGAGATAAAGAAAGACACTACAAAATGATAAAGGACTCAGTCCAACAAGAGGATATAACAATTATAAACATATATGTAGCCAACACGGGAACACCAGCATATGTGAAACAAATACTAACAGAATTAAAGGAGGAAACAGAATGCAATGCATTCATTTTAGGAAACTTCAACACACCACTCAGTCCATAGTATAGATCCACCAGACAGAAAATAAGTAAGGACACAGATGCACTGAACAACACACTACAACAGATGGACCTAATAGACATCTATAGAACACTACATCCAAAAGAAACAGGATACACATTCTTCTCAAGTGCACATGGAACATTATCCAGAATAGACCACATACTAGGCCACAAAAAGAGCCTCAGTAAATTCAAAAAGATTGAAATTGTACCAACCAACTTTTCAGACCACAAAGGTATAAAACTAGAAATAAATTATACAAAGAAAGCAAAAAGCTCACAAACACATGGAGGCTTCACAACATGCTCTTAAATAACCAATGGATCAATAACCAAATAAAAAGAGATCAGCAATATATGGAGACAAATGACAACAATAATTCAACACCACAAAATCTGTGGGACACAGCCAAGGCCGTGCTAAGAGCAAAGTATACTGCAATACAGGCCTACCTCAGGAAAGAACAATCTAATATAAGCAGTCTAAACTCACAATTAATGAAACTAGAAAAAGAAGAACAAATTAGGTCC